TATCATGTGGTTCAGCAGATTGCTTCTTATTGACAATTTCCTAATGTAGTCAAAGCATCATGGATGAAAAGTCTGGAGTGAAATTCCACCATGTTGCTTGTGTTTTTAAACTTTTGTTTGTAGAAAGTGTCAGTAATTATCTTTGCAGCTGTCACTCATAAATGCCCTTATACAAACATCTCATTGGTCTCCTCCCGACAAACAACTAAACTCTGAGAAGTCCACTCACTTCTTTTAGTTACTAAAGTTGGTGCTCAGCAGTCACTCATCCCTTCTGGCCTTTCTCACTAAAGTGAAGCAAAGCTGATACTGAACCTCAACAAAGCTAACATCTGATTCTTTTTTTTCCCTCCCACCTTCCCAGGAAACAATGTTGATCGTGACTTTGACTCACTAGTTTTCCATGTCACCCTTCCAGCTCACCCTGCACATCTTCACTGGAATCTGTCTGTTTCTGTAAACCACTCACTCTGTCTTAACATCTTAACTCCATGCCTTTAATTCTTCTTAATTTCATCTGTTTTGTCATAGACTTTTCAGCATCAAGGCATAAGCAGGTAAGTGAAAAATTATTTCAGGGAAGATAATCATACCAGTTCTCACTCAGGGTCCTCCTTCCCTCCCTCAGTCATCTGATTTTGTTAGAAACCAAAAATAAAATTCAGTGGCCTGTAGCTGATTTTCTAAACGGTCTTATTAAATAAAAAAACATGGAGCTAAATACAGGGGTGAAAGCCTTAGAGATCAGGGAAATAGTGACAGCCACCAACCTTACCTCTCCAGCTCTGCAGCTACCAAAAGGTGAGCTACTTCCTGTCTTACCCACACCTTTATTGCCTTGCTGTTCTTCCCTTTCATTGGCCCTTAGCCCAGCTACCTCACTTGTCACTGCCTGTCTGTACAGACCTCCAGGTCTCTATGGTTGGTACTGGGATTAAAGGCATGTGTCACCACGCTTGGCTGTCCCCTAGTGTGTCCTTGAACATGCAGAGACCTTGCCTGCCAAGTGATCAGGGTGTGTGCTACCACTGCCTGACTTCTGTGTTTACTTAAAAATGGCTGGCCTTTTTCCCCTTGATCTCCAGGCATGCTTTATTTATTAACATAGAAATAAAATATCACCACATTTCAGCACAAATAAAATGTCACCACAATGGCCACTGAAATGTCTCACTGAATAAATGTGTTTGGCCTACAAACCTGGCTATCTGAGATGGATTAGCAGAATCTCTGTAAAGGAGCGATCTAACCCCACAAAGCTTCTCTGGTCTCCAATCTCCACACGTGCTCCAGGGCATGTGCACCCTCACACTCATCTTGCTCTTGTACTCTCTCACACACACAATAATGATATTTTATAAATAATGATATATTTTATATGTATAATATAAATGTAAGTCAGTTGAGGCTATGACTACATGCCTATTCTTTGGAGCTGGCATGCCATGGACTGAAGTTTTTCTTTACACTAAATCTCTGCATCCTGACCAACAGTCCAACTCCCTGTCTTGACAAGTTGGTCACTTTCTCCAGAGTACAGCACACTTGGCACAAGGAGAAGTTTCTTTTCCATTTTTAACTAATAGTGACCCATTGGTACATTTAGTATTTCCTAAATTACAACTGGTGGCTTCCATCCCATACCATTATCATAAATGTATGAAGAGTTATTATCCAACAATAAGCATGCTATTAGGACGAGGAAAATGAGCTTTCCTTAACAGCAAAGTTGTTCCTCATATTCTCTGTGTCCAGTCCCCCACCCCACCCCCTTCATTGTCATCTCCCCTCCACCTCAGAAGCCTGGAATGTTCATTGTTTCACTGAAGCACCCTCTTTTATCACTGGGGGCTGAGTTTCCATCACTGAGCATGTCAATTAAATACTGTTTCTCATCCTTTAAGTTAGTGCTTTCACAGAGCTTGTTAGAGCATCATTTTTATCTCGTTTCCATATTTTAATTGTGCCTTTGGCATAACCTTCAGGTAGGCAATGCTCACAGTGAAGGCTGTGAGTCCCTGTTAAAATAGACCTGTCACTCAATGTTTCTCTGCCCCTCCCATCTCCATCAGTTGCTTTTTACATCAAAGTAAAGTAAGAAACCGCATAGTAGACTGCTAATAACAGCAGTTTGACCTAAGAAATGCTATGGGCATTGAAAGAGAGATGTGTAATCAGAGGCGATGGGAAACTTTTATTGAAAGGTTGGACTTAATGAAGAAATGATGCTGTGATGTGTAATCTGCCTTTATTGAAATTACTGTTTTCATTGAATAAAATGTGAATCACTAAAGACCATAATGTTTCTTTGAACATGGAAATTTTGTTTTGATGCTCATAGTTTTCTTACAAATTCCTACGTGGCACTGGCAAGTGAGCATCTTTTAATTCATCATATTGATTTGTGTGTCTCCTACAGATGAATGGTTAGCTTGACTAAGACTAGAGTGACTTTCTGAATATCAGTCTAGCATTTGTGAAATGAATGTATGATTTTCTAGACATCTAGAAAATCTATGCAGATATTTGTGTTTATTTATAACCATAGAATCCTAAGTGTTAAGAACATAATGGAACATTTAGAATAACTCCCTGATTTTATGAATGAGAAATGTAAGTGGCTTTTCACAGTTAGATGACAAAAATATAATCCTAGGCCTTATTGAGCCCACATTTATTGTTCCTTCTACCATGCTATTTTTAAGATTAGAATTTGAGTCTCAAGACATCACTGGCCACTCGTTCAGAGCACTGCCTGCTTCTCCAGCGTATCCAGGGTTAGGTCCCAGCATCTATAGACACCAGATACACATGTGGTGCAAAGACATGTATGCAGTAAAACACCCATACACATAAAATAAACAAATAAAATGTTTTAAAGAATTATTGCATTCAATTTAGATCTACAGCAAAAGCTTATTTACTAATCAAAATCCAGGCATGAGTCATTTCTAACTTTTCTGTTTCCTATTATCCCTGTCACTCCTTTGGGAAACCCATATTATTTGTCCTGGTTCTATAATGAGAGCATTAATTGCCTTGGTTTCCAATACTATGTTACTCTCAAAACACTTGCATTCACTCATACCACGTGTGTGATCTCAGGGTAGCAGGGTTATTTTTCAACCACCAATCACCCAGTTTATTTCTGAAATTAAGAATTTCTTTCCTCCAAATAAAAAATAAATTTTGGACTCTTGGACTACAGTTACTAATATTTTCCTAGCCTAAAGTTGTTGCTCAATGATAGATTGCTTGTTTAGCCTGTACACATCTCTGGGTTTGATCTTCAGCAACACACACACACACACACACACACACACACACACACACACACATACACACACACACACACGTACACTCACATGCATGCACTTGCTCACAATTTAGTGCAGGCCATATAAAGTATACTTTGTGACCCAAAGTAAGTCTCTTCATGTTAAGTTCAAGCATACATATGAAGTATATAGAGATCTATGTGTCATTTCATTTAATCTTTTTGTCCATGGGACAACCTTGAATTTCTTCTTTGGGTGACCTATATTTCCTGTAGGAACTTGCCAGGAAATAGTCTTTATATAATTATAATAACAATTAGTTACTGCTATACTTTTCCTTTTTTCTTTTATTAAGCCCACCCTTCTATAACTAGCTGAAAAAATTATCACATGAAAGGCACTTTATACACAGTCTTTAAAGGACTAGTTTCATAATAATGGAATGTGAAAATTGGAAGGTACATTAGAAAACAATCTGTAGTGAGTGCTATGTAAAAGACTTACACAGGCAGTCAGGAAAAGAAGACTTAAAGCAAAGAAGTCTTCCACAGCTCCTCAACAACTAATCACTCACAGACATTAAAATCAGTCCTTTTATTTCTGGTATTATTATTACAATGTGATCACATGACATGTTTGTCTCTTGTCAAAATATTTTTTTACACATAGTTATGGATGCTGTAGAGATCATAGAAAAAATCTGATTTATTGAGTTCTTTTATAGACATTTTATATTCTTTTAAAGGTATTACTTTTTGCTCTTGCTCTCCAAAAATTCTTGTCACTTGTTGCTGTTGTTTTTGTTGTTAGTGGTAGTGGTGATATTGTTGCTGTTGTTGGTGTTGGTGATAGTGCTATTGTTGTTGTTGGTGGTGGTGGTGGTGGTGACGGTGGTGGTATCTGTGATATATGCTCAGATGTACATGCAGGTACATGCCAGAGGATGATGTTATACATCTTCTTCTGTCACTCTCCACCTTATTTTATTGAAACTGTGTTTCTGTAAGTAGGAAACTCCCTATTTCTGCCAAATTGACTGGTAGACAGGTCCTGGGTTCCACCTGTCTCAGCTTCCCTACACTAGTGTTACCTGTACATGTAGCCATGCCTGGATTTTACATAGGTGCTGAGAGGTTGAACTCAAGTCCTCTTGCACTTACAACAAGGGTCATTACACACTGAGCCATTTTTCCAGACCCTCACCCTGAGATTTTTAACAGAATGAATTATTATGAGTGAATGATATCACGATTAATTAAAGTCAGTCTTAGGAATGATTCGTCTTGGGGGCCAATAGAAAAAGAAGTGTGGTCATGCGAGTGATAAAATAGCTCACCAGGTTTTGCTTGATACTGCTCACCAGAAGTGACTATCATTGGGGAGAGGATTCTGAATGTATACATAAAGCATCATCTAATTCCAATCATAATATTTATAATACCCCTTTTTGCAAAGAGGAATTTAGATTATGTTGGTTATAGTGGTTATACAATGATGGCAGTCTCAAGGAGCCTCTCCTTTGTATTTAGTAAATTGCTTTGAGAAACATACTTCTTGAGTCTATATTTCTGGGGCAGCGCATTTGAAGATGGAAGGGCAAAAGAAATGCCCAAATGGGCAGGCAGCACAGGATCCAGGCAAAATCTGGTTGGAGAGGAAATCTGTTCCCGTGATTAGTGAGCTTCCCCAGCCAGCCTGTAGGTGGGTGTGTTTAACAGGAGGAAGCAATGGGAACCAGCCTGTCAGCCAGCCTTTCAGGCTAATTAGTTCAGAATACAACAAAGATAAGTAAGCCTGAGAGGAGGGCCCTGAGGGTCTTTAGATTCTGGGAAATGTCTGATTGGCAGATGTTAAAAGGGATTCTTTGGTAATCCAGTGCATCAATGAACTGCACAAATTCAGTCCAGAGCTGCAAGAATTCAGGCATGAGGACACTGTGCAGGAGGCTTGCACAGGCAGACTCGAGATGGACAGAACCTTGGAATCTCTAAGGCACATCATTGCCCAAACCTTGCCTCACAGAGACCCGGCTTTGGTCTTCAAAGACTGTAAGTATTGAAGGAGAAAACCATATTTTTTCTAACTTTTTAGAAAATAGTTCTGAGTGTCTAGTCACATCCTATTTAACTATGATTTCTGCTAGATCTTTGTAGTCGTGTGCTGTGGGCTAAGCGATATTTAAATTGTTCCCGACTTCAACCAGGAGAATGATTTCATTTTACCTACATCTATGAGGCTCTGGGTTATTTTGCCAAGACACTACTGTGTAGAAGACTCCGTTTCTAAACTCTAAAACCTGCCAAGTCTTAATGAACTTTTCCAGATGCTTTTTAAATAACACAAAGCTGACTGGAACTTGATGAAAACTAAAAATAACTTGGAAATGATAATTTTAAAAAAGCATCTCTAGTTGTTAATCTATTTTATCTTCCATAATGTAACTAGTCACATTGAATCAAGTACTGTTTTTATCTAAAAATACTTGTAGCTAACAAAATTTAATGATAAATCACTACTGAGCTCCTAAATTTTAATAACGAATTATAAAGCCAATAAAATGAGATGCCTTTAACTTCACTTACATCCCCACCCCCACCCCACATGGCATGGCAAAGTTATTTTTAAATCTTTTTCTAAAATGATTATGAAAAATAATTCAGTCAAGCTTTCCAATTCCAGCAATACTATTAAACCATTTGTCATATAACTTCACTTCTGGAACCAATTTGATTTCTTGCTGCTGCAAAACAGACTATCTTCACAGTGTATCTTATCTACAGTGGGTGTCGGATTACAAAGGGCTTCTGAAATAGAATTGCGCTTTGGAACTGCCCAAAAGGTGAAAATGCATATGGAATGTTTTTTAGCCTGCAATATGTTACAGCTTGTGACTCTAGGGATGTTTGTCTCCATCAAAGTACCAGTGGTTTGGATTTTGCCTTCTGATTAGTGAATAACGGTCCTCTCCAGATGTCCCTGTAGCTTATATTTCTCATATGTGTGATGAAGAAAGAGAAACATTGGGCCACGTTCTATAAAATTTCCCTCTTGGAAATTAAATTGTTATCAATCTGTCCTCTAAGGCATAAAATGAAAGCTATTTTCTTTCTTATTTTTTTTTAATATTGCCTTCAAGTATTTGTCAATAGCTATGTTAGAAATAATAAAAATCACTCCATCCTCAAGCCTAGCCTGGAGTCTATTCTGGCTTGTTATGTTTTCCTCAGTGAAAGAGAGGGAAAGAATGTCTCCTACAATGCATTCAATTCTTAGTGAAGGGTAAAAGGCTTTGGCATGTCCAAAGTTTTGGATAAATTGCAAGGACTTACATCTAGAATTTGGAGCTTAGAGGCAGTAAAAAGAAATGGGGGAAAAGTGAGGCTGCATGGTCCAGGTTTTAAGCTGAACTAATTTCTTCCAATTGCATACTGTCTGTCACCAAAATTTTTGCAAGAATGCTGTTTGGTTTTGTTTTTCTTTTTCTGTTTTTTTTTTTGAGACCATTATAATCTACACAGAAATTCTTTCATATGGAAAAAATGTGTCACATTTCATATATTTCATTCATCAACAGCAACAACAACAACAACAAATCCTAAAGTTGGCATTTTTCATTGCCGACTTACCCTGAGAGGAACTGCCGCTCACAGCTGTTTGTCTCACTTAGTGAGTATGAAGGAAAAAAACAAACAAAAAACAAAAAAACCCTGCCCCCAGCCTAACTCACAAGTTCTGAAAAGTCTCCCGTTCTCCTAACTCACTCCAGGCTCCTCCTCTGCCATGATCCATCCAGTCTCTGCCAGGCAGGAGGGCTGTGCGCTTGAATACATCACTGCTAATTATTTAAGTAGAATTACTTCCTTGCTCTCTTGGAAGATGAAAGGGGTCTTCAAAAAAATTATAAAACCCAACCCAACTGAACAAACGAGTATATATATATTAAAAACAACAACAACAACATCAGGTTGTTTCTAAACTCCTGTTCTATGAATGCAAAGTGCTATTTTCTTCACTCTTTGGACACACAGTATGGAGAGCAAAAAATGCCCCCCCCCCGAGTTATTCACCACCCTTGGTTGGCTTTTGATTTGCTTACAAACAAGCAACAGTTGGTAAATTTTCTCTTCAAGTTGATTAGGAAAAGCACTCTGAGCATTTTCTAGTCTGAGGCAGCTCCATGTGGGAATAGTTACATTCACTTAAGGAAATAAATGTTGAATGCATTGCTTAGCCATGAGGGCCCTTCAGATGGCATTTTACAATATGTTAAGTCTGCTGTAGTTTAGATGTTGTTCATCTACGATAGCTGTATATTTTTAAAAGTATTATTTTCTTTCTTAAAAGGAAAGGAATCACAGCATTTTTCTTTACTTCCTAGTTGACATTCAAATGAAAGAGGTTTGGGATAAGGTGGGCTCCCAATCTGAAATTTGCTTCTGAAGGCTGGCATGAGACTGTTCTCCACAACAGGAGCATCTCTGTAATAGGCAGCACTGGATAGCAGCACTCAACCAGACAGAATCTGTTTTCAGAGAAATTATGGCATGTATCCATGCTGACTTTCATTCTGAGCTTTGTGTCATCCAGTTTCATTCCATGGGTCATGAGTCACATGCAAAGATGAGCCATCTTAAGAGCAGCCCCTGCCCTCTCTTGAGGAGCATGTACTTAGTTTGTTTGCTACTGTTTGACCAGTCCTTGGCTTTTTCTCAAAAGAAACTAATGCATGATCTCAAGATGGCTATGTAGCAGATACTAACCTAGGTACTAATTTTTCACATTACAAAAGGTAAGATACTTGCATACTATTTCTAGGGTGTTACTTCATCCATTTTATAGACGCTAGGATATTAAATCCTCATTGTATGACAGATAATATGCCAGGAACATTTATTCATAGCAAGCCAGTAAATGCAAATACTGCTGTAGTACTGTCGTGTTGTTATTATAAGTTAAGGAACGGAGGCAAATTGACCAAGCCCCACCACGGTAGGGGATAGAGGCTAGATACAAATGTCTTCCAACTCCTTACTTTTAGTCATTCACTATATAACGCTGCTTTTTAGTGGTGCCAGTTACCATATTATCAGGGCTGTAATGGCAAAGTCTGTGGAGAAAACAGAGAGGGAAGAGAAGTGAACTTTCTGGGAGGTGAGGGAGCCTAGTAAGTAATCATATTTGAACAGAGTATGACAGGGATGCAGACATGGAAGCGTTTTTAGAGGAGGAGAAGCTACTTGGCCAAAGGCCATACAAGAGGCATGGATTGAATGAGACTGAATAGGAGAAGCAGGTTGAGTCTTGCTGACACATAGGCCATTAGGAGGTACTGGAGTTAGGTATGATCTTAAATTATTTGTGGAAGTTTATGGCTTTGTGTGACTCTGTTGGAAGCGTATTACTGATACCTTAACTGGGAAGAACTGCAGCTTTTATCAGTAGGAAACCATTTCCCAAACCAAGTAAGATGTAAAGTTAGTAAATGATAAATGAGCCTCTAGGAATATGTTACTTTCAGTAGCTGAAGACCAAATCAAAATAACTTTCTCCAAGAGATTGTTTAATAGCTATCTTGATTATCATTTCAGCCACAAGAATTAGTAGATTACTGGGTTAGCCTTATGAAGCTATATGTTAGATTTCAGTAGTATTTTCTCCATATTCTATGATGAAAAAGTAAGATGGAGTCTTTGTTAAATGTTGCTCAGTTAGATGCAAATTTCTCACATATTTGAGGTACATTAACTTTTTTATTTGAAAAACATTTCTCTGCATGGAAGGTTTTATATATATCAGATAGGTGAATACTTAACTTCAAAGAGCACATTTCTACCCTTTGGAAAACTCATACCAGACTACAAGGCTATTAAAAACATCTTAGTAATCATGAATCTGGCAGTATATGGCCTGGGAGAACAAAAATCCTCAAGAGTCAAGTATTTTTTCCGTCCCATTCTCTTTAGTGCAGTTACTTGAAATCTATAAATTTGATGATACATTTATAGTTTTCACATTTCACAGAGAGGGATGGATGTAAGGGATATAAAATTCCTTTGCATACTGCAGTGCATTCCACCATATAAACTGCCCTTGAAAGAACACCATTTCATTACAGAGCAATGATTCCATCTTAATTGCAATAGAGTAAATCTTGATACTTTTAGTATTAAACTAGAAATACATGTTTTATAGAAACCCATTCAAATGCCAGTCTTACTTTATTTGTAACAGGATACAATGACTTTTATTTGAATTCATACTGAGAAAAAAATGAGAACTTCAGCTCAGCTATCAGTGGTATAAAAGATGTTCTTTTTATCTTTTATCAAAAAATGTTCATTTGACAGCTTAAATATTGAAAGACAGCATGAAGAGAAACTATTTCAAAGTCTTTTAACTGGGGGAAGGTGACTTCTCAGTCACTTAAAGGCCAAATCTGCCCTAATACCTTTTTCCTCATATGCAAATACATTTAACAAATCAAAATAAAATATGATAGACAATCATCCCATGAGATCAGTCTGTGGCCTCTTCATAGGCTGCTGCCCCATCTCACCAGAGGTTTTTATTATTTTTTTTATTTTATTTTTTTAACAGTTGAGATTTGTTAGCTTGAACTCAATTCTAACAACTTCTGAAACTCATGTGCTAAGTTACAGCCCATAATAGGATACAGCTGCCCGAGGGTGAGGTTCTAAGTTATGATCTTTCTGTTTAAATGATACGGTTTTACTGATTATGTGCTACAGATTGATTTAAGAAATGTTAGACAACTTTAGAAGCCTTTCATAAAAGAACTTTTATTTAATATATTTTATATTCAAGTTTTAACCCCAAAGGCTTTTATTTCTTTTCCTCAATGTTCAAATGCCCATGTAAGTTTAGTCTGTAGAGGCATTTAAAACAATTCTATTTTAAAAGAAAAAGAATCCTATTGAAAGTTTAAAGCTAACAGAAGGGACAGTTACTCCACCCTGTGGTTCTCTCCGTTGTCTCTCTGGAGTCAATGGAATGTTACAGTTTTGAATTTTTGTTGGCTTTATTTTTTCTCCCTGATGCGATGATAATCAGTTGATCCCTGGTGCGATCTCATCTTGTTGAGCAGCTGTGAGAACCTATCACTCACCCACCACTCTGTTGGCACTTATGGCCTATGCTTTTTCATCTGAGTTTCTCTCCTACGCTTCTGAACTACCTGTTACAATTTCTCTGGGGTGGTTTTGTCTATAGCTTAGTTTTAAGTCCCAGGGCAGAGTCAGACCTTGTACTTTTGTCACATGCCAGATGCCTTCTACAAGTCCAGGTACCTGGGAAGTATATAACAGATATATTTAAACTACTGATTAATTTTTTCTCCCCCATGGAAGGGGAAGAGGGGAAGAGTTTTCACACTGTTAGGGTATTCTCCTTCGTGATGAAGTAAACTTCCCAGCACTCTTCCAAGCCGTTCTTCAGTTGACAGAATTATCAGAGAATAACTACATTTAGGAAGAAGTTGACATCAAAATAAGCAGGAGCGACCATGAAAGAAGAGGCCCTGAAGACAGAAAGCCACCTCAGGCAATTCAGTCAGGGAGCTGCCTCGAGCTCTCCTTATGACTAGCTCAGAATCACTCCATGAGCCACTTTGGCACAACGTCAGAATCTACCACACCTACATGTATCCTCAGAATGTGCCTCCAGCTATAAGTCACCAGGGCATTCTTCTTATGCCCAATTCTATTTGTGCTTTATACACTGACCCTGTGGCAAATACTAAGAACCATTCTATAAATCATTGTTTCTAGGGAAATACATTATACCTAAATACCTAAAACCATATTTGTATAGATGTGACCATTTTAATAAACCTGAATTGTGTGCCTGATCCTCAGTTGGTTATCTCACATCAGTGTCATAAATACAGTGCAATGTCAGGGCCCAATAGAACATGGAGGAAGATATATACCCCATAATTGGAAAATAGGTTGCATCAGGTTTCTATTCTATACAGCCTTTAAAATTGGATGATATCATCTCACTCATGCTGCACATGTAAACCACACATGTGAATTCTATCATGCTGCTGCTGCTATTTAAGTGTGACACATACAATGACTTTTCATTTAATTTGCCTTTGCATCTTCCTTTTGTTCTTTCATATTCCCTTTTCTCTCCCTGTCCTTGCAAATATACATAAAATAAATGTTATTTAACTTTTCTCATAAAAAAGATTTACAGTTCAGCCTTTTTTAATTCTAAAGGTGAAAAGTACCCCCCCAAAAAAAAGAATGATATTACTTTTAAATTTTTATAGATCCTCCTGCAAAGTTAACTATGTAAAACAACTCAAAGGATTCAGAGAAATGTTTGAATTAGGGGGTGGAAGTGAAAGAAGGAAAGAAAAACCAAACAAAAGCCAGCCAGTTTTCCAGCAGCTTAAGGAGCTGGGGCACAACCCTTGAAGAGTGCCACTGCTGGGAACAAAGAGAACTCCAGCTGCCTGTCCCACTGTGCCAGTGCGGCTACCTTAAAAGAACTTTCACACAAAAGGAAAGGGGGTCAGGGCCCGCCCACTGCTGCTGGACACAGGGGCAATGTCTACAAGAGTTCATTGGCCTGGCCAAAGCCAAAACTAGGGATCATTGCAAATGCCTAGACAGCTGCATGGCTGGTCAGTTCCTGGGGCTAAGACAGACAAAACACAAGACCCAGAGGCACCCTATTTTCTCAATCTATTGTGCATGCATGATAAATTAATATACTACAAGTTTGTCCTTTACATTATTTGAGGGTCTTTTTTCTGTTTTCCTCAAT